CAATCCAAACATGAAAATGGGTCCGGTGTCTGTAAGGTACACAGACAACATGTCGACAACAAGGGCTCCACCGAAGGAAGTCAAACCAAAACCACAAAAAGTGTTCCTGCTCATGACCTTGGGCATCTTCCTACTTCACTCTACTTTCAGTACAGAAGACACTTCACAGTGTTATCTGAGTCATAGGAACAGGCTTATTGAGGCATGAGTTGCACAGGTTAATTTTGGAAGACAAGGTTTATTAATGCAACCATGCAGAGGCATTTAGTAAAATTTTCATGCTTACCAAAATAGTGTAAGACTATGGGGTTCAGACAAAAATCAATAAAATGTTCAAGTATTTTACTGAATAAATAAAGGGCCTGGAGGGATGCTTAGACTGCCTAGCTACCATTTCAAATCGTAATTGTAAATTTGGCACAAAAGGGTTTTAAAAAAGATGTTTGTTGTAGTTCTTAGGAGTACATTCCTGAGAGAAACTGCTAGTATATTTGCTAGTGATTTGGACCTGGGGTTTATGACTTGGCAGAATGTCATAAGGGTTTCGGAATCGCGCTGAGTAACCCCGGGATGGTTAGGGACGCCGAGGACCCGGGGTGGCGAGGCCTCGCTGGCAGGTGAGGCAGGGTGGGCTGGGAGCTGTGGAAGGACCAGCTCCAGGGAGCCCCACCGTGCAGGGCAGGGAGGTGTGACACTGCACCTTGTTCGCTGTTCCTAAGCCCTGAGCTAAGTGGCTCCCGGAGCCGCGGGACCTCCTGCATCTCTCTCGGCATCTCGCGGGGCCACTGCCAGCGTGAGTGACCCCTGGCCCCGGCAGCTCTGCACGGACAGTGCAGCTTCGCCCACCCTTCCTCAGCGCCACCTGACCAGACTTTTGCATTTCCAAGCAGTCAGCTCACAAATGCTTATGGAGATTCTACTCTGTCAGACTAACAGCTAGAGAGAGGGGCAAAGTAAAGGGAAACATCAGACGGGGTGGGGAACAAGGAACAGGGAGTGTGGGAGACACCAAACTACTCAAACTCTCAAGGAGGGAGTCTATAAATCTTTAGAAGAAAGAACAGAGCTGAGGAAATCTCAACCCTTCTCCCCACCTCCCCAACCCCCACCAGCACCAGACTCCAAGCAGGTGGGAGAGAAGCAAACAGAGGTGATAAAGGAGAATGGCGAGGCAGCTCCGGAGAGCCGAACAGGACAAAATCTCTGGCACAGACAGCACGCTGCATTGTCTAGTTGGCAGATGGACCACTCAGAAAACCTGGGAGCAGTTAGGAGGGAGGAAAACAAATGGGGGGCTGCTGAGAATGATGAGAGGGATGCAGTCCCCACACTACCTTCTGCTAAGAATTCAAAGTGAGGCAGGACACTGGGACCAGAGGAAAAGGGCACCGCCATGACCAGGTGGAGGCATGCCCACTCAGGACACCGCCATGACCAGGTGGAGGCATGCCCACTCAGGACACCGCCATGACCAGGTGGAGGCATGCCCACTCAGGACACCGCCATGACCAGGTGGAGGCATGCCCACTCAGGACACCGCCATGACCAGGTGGAGGCATGCCCACTCAGGACACGGTCATGACCAGGTGGAGGCATGCCCACTCAGGACACGGTCATGACCAGGTGGAGGCATGCCCACTCAGGACACCGCCATGACCAGGTGGAGGCATGCCCACATCAGGACAACCGCCATGACCAGGTGGAGGCATGCCCACTCAGGACACCGCCATGACCAGTTGGAGGCATGCCCACCTACAGGACACCGCCATGACCAGGTGGAGGCATGCCCACTGACTCAGGACACCGCCATGAACCAGGTGGAGGACAGGCCCACTCAGGACACCTCATGACCAGGTGGAGGCATGCCCACTCAGGACACCGTCTGACCGGTGGAGGCATGCCACTCAGGACACCGCCAAGGACCAGTGGAGCAGCCCACTCAGGACACGGTCATGACCAGGTGGAGGCATGCCCACTCAGGACACGGTCATGACCAGGTGGAGGCGTGCCCACTCAGGACACCGTCATGACCAGGTGGAGGCATGCCCACTCAGGACACCGCCATGACCAGGTGGAGGCGTGCCCACTCAGGACACCGCCATGACCAGGTGGAGGCAGGCCCACTCACATTCACACCCACCACCGCTTCAGGAACTGGAGGGATGGAATTTACAAAGCTTCCAGGAAACAGATGTGAAAATGTTGAAGGTAGGAAACCACAGTTAACCTCCAATTATCTGCTGATACCCATTCTGAACAGGACAAGTGAGTTTTACAAACTGCATTCTCCTCATCAACAAGCAAAGATGGGCTCACACTTCTTCCAAGGGGGACAGCCCCCCCCCCCCCCCCACTTCAAGAGCATGACTGCCCCGCCAGTATGAAGACTAGAGGCTGGCGTTCTGTGTTGTCCATATTGTTTCATACACCCTAACCCCCTGCCCAAATAGCAGTCTTCTTCTGTAACAGAGGAAGAGACAAACTATTCCATGACCTCTTGTTCAAGGTCACGAGGTGCCTGAGCCAGAATTCAAACCCGGAGTCCAGATCTCTGTGAAATGCCCACAATCCTCCAACCTGAGTTTGCTCCCTGCACACAATCGGACTTGTGCCTCTGCACAGGCTGCTCCCTCTGCCAGAAACACACTCTCCTCATGTCTGTCTTTTCAAGTTCTTCAAGTCCTCAAGCCCTGTTTTCCATCCTATCTCGGACGGGAAGCTTTCTTGATCTCGTAACCAGATGGCCTCCGTGCTTGCTGACCTCGTGCCCGGGGCCAGCACGAGGCCCGGCCTCAGCGGATCAAGCAGTTACAGTGCATTCTCGTGCCCAAGACATGGAACGTCTTCCTTCCACGGTGAGAGGAGTTTCAGAATGTGCTTTGAAACACTCATTTTACTTAGAGTTGCTTATGACCTCTCAGCAACCCTGTGCATGCTTGAGAATTCTTGAGATACGAGGGCCTATAGTTGTTTTCAAATAATGATAAAACTTGCTGAGATTCTTAAGCTCAAGGGTAATTAAGACCGATAAGTATCTTATAGAGTTTTAAACATTTGTTAATTTCAATTTGCAGAGGTTTTCCCTTATTTTTAGAGCCTACGGATAGGTTTCTGTTCAGGTCTTACAGAATTCTGTAGGCCCTTGAAAGGCTAGCAGGTGCTAAGCACTGTGCCTAAAGTATGCAAGGGGCAGAACAGCCCGCTCAGGCCCGAACCATGTGCTGCCTTGCCTAATGGTTATAGAAGATCTGCCATAAGCCTGGACCCTGCCCATCGTCATGATCGTAAGGAGACAGTGATTTTTATCTCACTGAATTATTTTTTTTTAAATAACTAGTGACTCTTTTTTATTTTTTTTTATCCTCACCCGAGGACATTTTTTCCATTTTTTGTTCAGATAGAGTGGGAGGGGGAGAGAGAAAGAGAGAAACATCGATGTGAAAGGGACACACCAACTGGTTGCCACCCGCACGACCCAACCAGGGCCGGGGACAAACTGCAACCTAGGTACGTGCCTTAGCGGGAACCGAACCCGGGTCTCTCGGGACTGCAGGCCGACGCTCTAACTGCTGAGCCAAACCGGCCAGGACTCACTGACTTCTTTAGAGTGACTTAACACAGCTGCCACACAGTGAATGCTATGGTCTCAATTATTAAAAAAATAAGTCCTAAATAAACACAAAAACCACAACTTCAACTACATACTCTACAACCCCATTCTTAAAATAGTGACAATTATTGGAAATTGTGCTCCTCACATTTTTCAAAATGTTTGGGTTCTCTTTCCTTTGAAGAAATGCTTCATCTTTGCTGCTTTGAAAGATGGTACAAATACACAAGCCATAAATAAACACGTAGTAGGAATCTCTAGAAGTATTCAACTTTGGGATTTTTTTTCATTGGTGATTAGCTACAGATTTCCTTGTAAGCATTTATTTACAAAGCTATACTCATAATTTTCTGGATGTCACATCTCAAGTACAGTAGTGCCTCTTTATCCACTCAAACTGTCCTTGGGTCCGGGTAAGTGTCCTTTGGTAGTACTTGGATTTTAACTAAATTCAATCTAATAACATTAAATTTTTTTTTTTTTCTATTTATCTTCAGATAGAATAGGAGGAAGGAGAGAGAGAGAGACAGAGAGAGACATTGACATGAGAGGGACACAGTGACAGGTTGCCTCCTGCATGACCCGACCAGGGCTGGGGACGAACCGCAACCAAGGTTCGTGGACCTTGACTGGAATCGAACCCGCAACTCATTGGTCCGAGGGCCGACGCTCTAACCACTTAGCAAACCGGCCAGGGCTAATAACATTTTAACATATATGATGAAACAAAAAATACTCTCATGCTCAACTGCTGGTGTGGGGCAGAGAAAGCTGATCTCTGAGAAGTAAGGACAAAGGGCAGCAGCATTTGTCTGCACGAACCAGCGCGTAAGACACACGACGCTTTCTCAGCACCAGCAGAAGATCATCATTCATTAAAACAAAACAAAACAAAACAAAACAAAACAAACAGGACCCCAGGTATACAAGAAGTGAACTGGAACAAGATCTGTATGAATAATACGCATTTACAGGAACCTGCAAACTTTCAGGGCGACGCTCAGCCTTTAGTGTAATTACGGCCTGACATCCGAAGGCCTAGCTACGAAATACGCTTTGGTAACATAGCGAACACTCACGTTTCCACCTGAAGACCGCATTGCTACTTTGTATTTTCTGCATCTGGCTTGTTCTGCCCACGTCCAGATCCAGTAAAACCCCAGTTTCGCCTGAGGTCAGGCTCAGCGAACAAGAACGTCAGCTTTCATGTTGCCACCAAGAGTGTGATTGAAATCTCGCCACGCCTACATTCTTAGAGAATAACCCAAATGCTCAAAACTGAGCACCCCATGCTCACGTGGAAAACTGAAGAGAGAAAGAAACACGGGACAGAACGGGAGGAAAAGCGGCCGGGAGAATGTGTCTCAGGCAGTCGGACGGAGGTGCCCACCTCTTTCCCGTGCCGTCCTGAAGCATCGCTTTCCCCATCTTCGTTTCCAGCTCCTGCACCTCCTCCAGCAGCGTTTTATTGCAGGTGTGCTTGACCCTGGGTCACAAGGAAAAGACAGTAAGAGTGTGGTACACGAACTTCACACAGCTGTGAAGACGGGGTGTTTTCCCCTTGGGCCACATCTGGATGCCCTCTGACCCCTGGCGCTGAGGCTTGGGGCATCACGTGAGCAGCACTTGTGGTCCTGTGCTTGGCAAGGGCTCCGCCTGGGGAGCATCCCAAGTCCTGCGGGACATCACGCCCCTGAGGACCACTGATTTTATGCTGAGAGCGTGCAGGTCTGTCTGAGGACCCCAGCCACTCAGGCCTAACACTCACGGGTCTGTCTCTAAAGCTTCTCACTGCGGCACCTAACATCAGCAGATGCCTAAGATGCCCATCCTAGTGGGCGGGTGCGGGACCCTCGGCCCTGTCCTCCACTGTGATCAGAAAGTCCGGGTGAGCAGCCTCTGCCGCAGCAGGAACAAGATTTACACGCTTTTCACGCCAAATGTGACCGGAAACTTGGGCTCGATGCAAATGCCCACAGCCTTGCCCACAGTGTGGTTTCCATGGTGTCGGCAGCTGATGGCAAGCTGGCCCCTCCACCACAACCCAAACTCAGCCTAGACACGGCACCCTTCTTGAACGGAGGAAGACTTGCCCGCACCCTTTCTGACTAAACGGAGAAGACTGTTACAACATTCAAATAAGCGGCTGGTCTCAGCATCTTTCTAAGATTAAGACTGGACAGAAAGCTACCGGTTGGAGACAACGGAGGTGAAGAAAAGGCGTTTAACAGGACCCACGGTAGAAAACGGGAAAAGCTGTCGACAGAAGAACACTCGTGGCTTAGCCACAGGGCAGGCTGACAGGCAGGGTGGGGCCCCGCGGGCCGACAGTTGTTCACGTGGAAAACAATACAGTAATGAACACATAACAATACAAGAACACGCTCTGGGTTTCGGGAACTCGCAACTGTCAGCCTACTTTCACACGCCCTGTATTAGGAAAGGCTTTTCATTAGTTTCAGTAGAAATGAACGTGAGGACCCTGCTGAGCACCAGGGCTCGAAGACAGAATAAGGCCACAAACTGAGCATATATCTGCAAGGAAGACAGATGACAGGGACATTCTGAGGACGGGGAGCTGCTTTGGGGGAATCACGAGTCCGCCCGCCCTCCCCCTTCAAGGGGAGAGTCTGTTCAATGGTGCGGGTATCCCTTGACACCTGAGTTAACCTGCAACGCAGTAGCAGTGCTAAGACACTGTACACGCGCCTGCCGTTCTTCCCCCGAAGTAAACAAGAGGACTAAGCCATGTAGGTTTCAGCACATACTGCCTTAATTGCATGGAGCAGCGCCCCGAGACTCCGCAGCGATAAAATACTGCAGTTCAAAGCGGAGACTGTGGAATGTTAATTTAACAATAAATGAGAGAACGTTGAACGTTTTGCTGGGAAGAAGGCAGTCAAAAGGAGGTTTAAATGGACACTGCTCGATATGACTGAATGTGCTGTGCCCCAAATGTTCCCTTTTATCTCAGGGGCTGATGGGGCTATGATGATAACAAGCCGACTGAGTGGCAACCCCACCACACTGGGCTTCACCCCAGGCGTTCAGGTCCCACGGGAACCTGTCTGGTCAGCGATGCAGGACGCACACGCTGTCTCACTGCTCCAGGGCTGTCCTGCCTCCCTCCCTGCGGCCCCACACGAAGCAGGCAGGGTTCGTGACCTCCAGACCAGCCCCCGGGTTATCCTCTGGGCTGGGAGAGAAGGCAGGGCTAAGCAGCAGGCCTGGACATCAGCAGCTTAGATTGAGAATGAAAGGAATCTGCCCCCCATTACATTTAGTTGCCAGTTTTCACTCATGCACAGTCACCTCAGAGGGAAATGACCTATATACCTTGACGCTCCCGGGCACTGTGCAGGTTCTCGGTGGATGCCAGGGACCCACGCCCAAGGGTCACTCAGCAGTTCTTGGCATGTCCAGAGCTCACCCCGACAGCCAGCCTGGGGACCTAACCCGTGTCTGAGAGCATGACTGGCGACCCAGGGAGGGTTCCGCTCCGCTCTCCACGTGTGGCACTGGAGGTGAACGGTGCCAGCAATTTAAAATGGCTTTCTCAAGAACGTTTACTTAATAGGGCCTTAATGAGGCAGATGATTCTAAAATCTCCCCTGTCAAACTCTACATGGGAATGGACGGAAACCTCACACACAAAGGTTTTTAAACCAGTCCCGTCAGCCCCCGGCGTGTCACTGAGGTCTGTCCGGGAGCTGGAGCCTGGCTTGCTGGGACTCTCAGCTGCGAGAGTGAGCCCCGTTCTCTGTAAATGGCTTATCCCCAGCGGTCCAGGGCTTGCTGCATCCAACCCCACACCGAGAGCCCAGATGATCACACATGGCGGGGCGGGGCCCTTAGGCACTGTCAGATGGGGTGAGATTCGTCTGCGAGCCTTCAGACGGTGCTAAGGGTATCTCCGGGTTAGTAGGAAATTTTAAATAAATGGGTTGGCTTAGAATCTTCAACGTTTCATTTCTTTGTTTCTGAAAGTTTTCTCTGGGTTCTTTTTCTTGCAGGAAGGGTGACAAGTGGAAAGGAAATGTTAATTTCTAACTGTGGATGAAAATGTGCACACAATGTGCTTCAAAATAAATTAGTGTAGTTAGAAAGTTTTTTTTTTTTTTTTTTTTTTTTTTAAAGCAAGGCCCATTTGTATATAGAAATTTCTTATTACCTTTTATTTCCACTTAACTGCCTATCTGGGATTATAACAAGGAAATGAAGTCATTCTGGAATTGCTGAATGGATTGCGCACTGACTGGTAGGCTACAGAAGATACAAGTTAGATAAAAGAGACTGGTTTCCGTGTTCAGTGGCCTTGGGCTTTATATTATTTTTATAAAGCAATCCTGACAAACTTCTCCTAGATGAGAATAAGTCCGTGGCAGCTTACCTAAGAATGCTGTCATAGGTAAACATTTTGGAAGAGTGTAAGCTAAAGGATATTAAAATAGTTCTGGGCAATTTAAACTTCATGCTTCTAATAAAAATACTCATTAGCCAGGTATCACATATAATCAATCAGTTATTTTAATAAAAGATGTATTAGTTTGGTCCCTCGTGAAAATCCTGGTGAACAGGATAACAGAGTAGGTATTTTATGGCATCCAAATCTGACTTCGGGTAGTCTAATAATGGGTCTTCATCCAGAAAGTTGATAGACTTCATGGAAAAAATGACCAAATTACCTCATGCTGTTTTTTCTTCTTACTCTTAAAACTCCAGGTCCCCAAATGGGAGCGAGAGACTGGGCAAAGGAGGGGGATGCAGAAAGACAGAATAACTTCCTTTCTTAAGTGCTCATAGAAATAGATGGGAAAGGCAGCCCTGCCTCGTGCTGGGATTTAAAAGCTCTTTCGAAATAGCTAACCACCAAAATTCAAAACGAAAAGCCCTTGGGATTGGTTCAAGGCAGGACCGACGGACTGCAACCAGACGGAGCTAGACCCCACCTGTCGCCGGCACAGCACAGGCCCTGCCTTTGCGCCTGATTCCGGCTCAGTGAATCGAAAGCTCGTCTTGGAGTCCAAGGTGCACCGTCGCACATCATGTTTCAATAAACATCTGACAAGTTGAACCAAATGACGGGTGGATCTGGACACTCAGGACTCGTATGCTAGTCCGGCGTGCAGGAGGGAATCGCGTTTATAAAGCGCAGGTTCAGAAAGACCGCTGCGAGGTCAGCCTGTGGCGCGGCCGGGGTGAGCAGCTCACACCGCGCTCTCTCTTCCTGGGACAAGCCTCTGAATTTCCTTGACTCAACAACAAATCTCTCAGTCTGGGAGTATAATATGAGATAAAACCGGGGCCTGTGGTCAGAGGAAAACGCTCAAATCAACTTGCAAATCATTGTTTTTGAAGAGCGAGGGGACTGTGTTTTAGACATTAAACATACGTTACAAACTGAGCATGTCCTTGGGGCCGGCTCCAGGTGGGAGCCAGTGCGTCTCAGGAGGCCCTGGAGCTCCGTAGCAGCCTCTGCGGCTCAGCCCAAGCACAGGGGCTGTGGTTCCCGGGGAAGGGCTGTGTTCTGAGCCCGGAGGTCAGCCTCTGCTCACGCCCCCTCCCCTCCAATCAGGGCCTCTTTACAGGGCTCCTGTCCTGCCGGCCAGTAGAATGTGACTTTTACTCTTTCCTTATGGTGGAGCTGGAGGCAGGCTCATTTGATTGATCCTTTTCAAAATGTAAATGATGCTAACTGTGCAGCGCCAGGAGTCAGGAACAGACGGTATTCCTGCTTGAAGGAGCCGATCATTTGCTTCCCGGTGACGAGGAACATTGACTTGGAGCGTACTGGAAATGATCCAGGACACAGACAAGGAGACAGGCCACTGCAATCTGAAAACGTTCTCTTTGAAACGGTAGAAAGATATTCTGCTAAAGTCTCACTTGGCAAATATACAGTCTCAATAAAAACATTTTTTTTTCATGACCTTCATCTAAGGTAGTTGAGTAAAAGAGCCTGAGATTAATTTACAGTCAAATCGCTATTGTCAATCACTGTAAATTAAAAAGGCAGCCGATGTAGCCAAGCCGTAAAGCTAAGTTGCTTATCTTGCAAAATTGACAAAATTCGGTCAGGTAATAAATATATTGTGCCACAACTGAGCCACGTGCTACCACAGAACGGACATTTTCTTTTAGTGCACTGATCAGATTGAGAAGACATCCTTTCTGACTCTAATGAATTTCCAAAGATTCTGATTCTACTATTTCATAGGACACAGTTTTAGCAGAGAAAATGGAAACAGTGGTAAAGCAGAGCATTGGAAAATTAGAGCTATTTAATTTTTACTCACAGTTGTAAAAGTTAGTGAACAGAAGCAAAAAAAAAAAAAAAAAACCCACCCAAAATATGTGCTATAAAATGTCTCTCCTCCCCTCTCTTTCCCCATTAGGTGCCGTCGGCTGTCAAGATAGTGCCAAACCGAAGGCTCTCTCAAAGACATCCTTAACTGTCAGGCAAGAACATTCTCATTGAGTGTGGGAGGAAGGGAGAGAGAAAAATGAAACCTGAGATCTTTTCCTGGAAGATTTGGATTAAAGTCTCAATTCTCTACCTCGGGGCCCCCAAATAATTATGCTTTGCCCAAAGAACAGCCAATGTAAGAGTCTCTGTTTTCAGGGACGTTGGCAACCATTTGTAGGAGGGAGGAACAGAATTCAAAAATCAGTGCTAGCTCATTTGCAGCATTCCACCTTTTGCTAATAATGAAATTAAAATTTACCTGGTTGCTTCTTTCACACGGTATATATTTCAGAAAAGATATATTTTAAAACATGTAAGCAAAAATTAAGCATGACTTACTTCCTGTTTCACCTCCATTATAACTTCGCCTTTGTGATTGATTTTCTGACAGACCTGTACACTGACACACTGGAGGAATTATATTTGAAGGATTCTACGGTGAATTATTAAGGAAGGTGAAGAATACTTCATTCCAAGTACTTTGCCATTCGAAATGAGCTACAGAAACACGATTTTCCTTGAAGCCCGGCTATATTTGTGATCCCTTAGCATTGACTCCTAGATGTCAGGACAGCACATGCTGAGTCGAACTTCCGAAGCCTGACAGGACGGGGCTGTGCTCAGAAACTCCCGCTTGCAATCACGCACACGGAACGTGCCCCTTGAGGGGCCTCCTTCCCGTCCGTATCCTCACATCGAGGTGAAGGAAAGAAACAAACAGCATCCTATCCACTCTTCCCTGGCAGGCGACGGGAGACCCGTTTCTCCAGAAGTGCCACAGTGTCATGTCCTGGGACACCGCAGGGGAAAGAGTTGCAGGGACAGATGAGCAAGACTGGGGCCGTCACTTCATCTTTCACTTACGCTCTCCACGCCACATCTTTGATCAAACACGCAGTGGGAACCAGAAGTAATCCCAACCAGAAGTGTGCGGAGCTCAGGACCATGGCTGCCTGCAAGAAGCAGAAGTCACAGGGGTATTAATACTTTTTCTTTCAAAAGCAGCGAGGTGCAATTTAATCAAGGCAGAACATTCCACAGTGTGCACACCCGACAGTATCACGCTCTGGGAAAGGCGCACGGACACCTGGAAGAATGTCAAGGGCCTGATGGGCAGAGGATCGTCCAGGATCACCCGCGCTTGTCTCCATTTTCGCACTTTGACAAGTGCCATCTCCCTCTTTTATGAAGTGCTTGCAGCCCCCTTTCCAATCAGGACACTGTCCCCCATCCTCCCTATGAGAAACGGGGGCCCCAGACGCCTATGGGGTAAGCTTTTACCCACTGGGCTCCCTCCGTCTGCCTCCCTCCTCCACCAGCTCAGTTCCGTCACGGCCCATTCATTCACGGAACCAGTACCTTGGAGCAAAGCGCTCTGATCCTCAACACCCAGAAGAGGAGGATGAACAGATTATAGGCTTTGCCTTCAAGGAACTTAAAGTCGTGCGCAACACACACACACACACACACACACACACACACACACCACACACACACTTGTGTGGTGTCATTTACATGACAGTGGAATGTCTCAGTCATATTCTATGGGGCTTCAAAGGAAGGTTAGAAAGCTGAGAAGCCTTGGTAAAGAAGACAGAATATGGGGTGTTCCTGGAAAGACACAGGGTTGGACCAGATGAGGAGGGCAGAGGGAGAGTGAGCCCAAGTCCAGGCCCCGGGGGCGAAGGGTGGATGAGGGGAGAACAGCCAGGAGACCCCCTCGATGACACTTCCTGGCATGCTGAGTCAGAGACTGGGCGGGAACAGAGAGCTTGAAGGAAGAGTTGCAGGGCCACGTCCGATGTCAGCGAGGCGAGGAGTGAAACAGGACCTAGAGCAAATGGGGACTAGGAAGGACAGAGTCCTTAGATTTTGGTTTTTGGGTGAGCCAGGCCAGGGGCATGGAGCTGGCTGGCCACTGACAAGCTGGCCGAGAAGGGTGAGCTGCTTGGAAAAGGGACCCAGGTTAGCGTGTGACAGACCCTTATGCTCACTGGTGCTTCTTGTCTGGAGTTCTCACCACTTGATCCTACTGGAAGAGATGCTTTGCCAGGACTCGCTGCAAAGCGGAGCGAGCTTCCTAGGGAGGGAGCGCGGAGGTGCAACCTCACCATTCGTGTGCAGACTCACGCAGGGCACTGGCGGGGCTGAGAATCGGGGGGCCTCAGAGCAGCCTTCCTCACACTGCACAGAGAAGGTGGGGTTCCCCTGCTCCTAGCATGGAGTCCAAACTTCAACTCCCCCTTGATTTCCATTTTCTGCCCCAGCCTGCGGCCACACACACACACACACACACACACACACCCCAAAGCCCTGGGACTCCCTAACTCCATCGGAGGAGACTTCCTTCCCAGCGTCTGTCCTCACCGCTTCTCTCTCCGCACACCCCAACCCCGAGCAGCCACGGCCAAGTCCGCCTGACCAGGCCTGTCTGCCCTCTGAACCCGGCACACGGCCCTGCCTGGGGTGCTCGGAAGTGACGACAAGGGAGCAGGTGCAGGGAGGCGGGGGAAGCTGCCTCCAGCCCTGGCACCAGGGACTTGCTCCTTTCCAAACACAAGAGGGCTGCCTTTCAGAAGGACACCTAGAAACCTTGCAGATAGGCAGTGCCTCTGCCCGTCAGTCACAGCTCTCAGAAGTCATTCCAAGGAAATGCGTAAAGAAGCAAGTAGAAGGATATTCACATGGTGCTGGACTCTCAAGGACAGTGAGAGACAAAGGTCCAAGAAAAAGACTTAATACGTTGTGGTCCATCCAGTGGACGGCTCTGCAGAAACGGAAGTGATACAGAATTCCGCTTGTTGACAGAGATGCCGTGTCGTATTGCTCGTGAACACCTGGCTCCCGAGACAACCTCCTACAGGAGCTGGGCCGTGGAAACGGGTGTCTGGAAAGGAGGAGGATGGGCCCACACCTCAGCGCACTCGGGATGTTGCCGTCCCATCTAGTGCACCCACAAGTCGTGGCTTCTTTGTGTTGATACATGTAAGTCAACATGCATCAATATTCACCATAGTTTCTGGAGTCCTGTTTTGCTATTTCCTCCCCTTTAAAAGCACGTGTCAGGACTTCAGAAACAGTGGAGTGGGCCCGGCCTCGCTGGGCCCGAGCCTGCCAGCCCCTCACATGTGTTCGAACTCCTACGCTCAGGAGAAACACGTGGGACAGAATATCAGGAGGAGTGTCTGGGTAGAACATTGCTGGTTTTTCTTTTCAGAGATCTTTGCTAGCTCTACTTCCTGTTTTTGTTTTCCTATAGGAAACATATATTACTTACATGAAATAAAAAGTCAGCCACCCCTCTCCCTCCGAGCAAACATCGGGAAGGAGTGGGATTAGCAGGCTCCCTTCTGCAGTCCCCCTTCCACCCCCACCCCCGGTCCCCCCCGGACAGGCTCCTTAGGGGCCCCACGAAGCGGAACCCCTGGATGTTGCTCTCGCTACACGGAAGGCAGACTTGTTCAAGTCATACTTATCAAAGAATACGATCATTTAAAAATAACATTTTACAACCAAAATGTAATATTTTAAATATATTATAAAACTTAATAAGAACTTTTCATTGCTGAAGGAAATAAGGCAAATGAACTTGGGACTGCCCTGTTTGAAACGGGAAGCCCCTCCTAAATTAACACAAGTAATCAGGAGATTTGAAAGTACTGTTGTTTCCAGATCTTAGCGATTGTAGATAGTGCTGCTATGAACAGGGGGTACATATATTCTTCCCAATTGGTGTTTCAGGCTTCTTAGGATATATTCCTAGAAGTGGGATCACTGGGTCAAATGGCAGATCCATTCTTAATTTTTTGAGGAAACGCCATATTGTTTTCCATAGTGGCTGCCCAGTCTGCATTCCCACCAGCAGTGTACTAGAGTCCCCTTTTCTCCACACCCTCGCCAGCACTTGTTTGAGGATTTGTTGATGGCGGCCATTCTGGCAGATGTGAGGTGATACCTCATAGTCATTTTAATTTGCATCTCTCTGATGATTAGTGATGTTGAGCATTTCTTCATATGTCTCTTGGTTATTTGTATGTCCTGTGTGAAGAGGTGTCTATTTAGGTCCTCTGCCCATTTTTTAAATTGGGTTCTTTGTCTTCCTTTTGTTGAGTTATATGAGTACTCTATATATTTTGGAAATTAACCCTTAGCCTAGGTGTCCATCAATAGATGAGTGGATAAAAATACATATACACAATGCAACACTATGCAGCCATAAGAAAGAAAGATCTTTTATCCTTTGAGATGACATGGAGGGAACCTGGAGACTATTATGCTAAGTGAAATAAGCCAGTCTGAGAAAGACAAATACCACATGACCTCACTTATTTGTGGAATATAATGAACAAAAAAAGCTGATGAACAAAATAGACTCAGAGACATAGAAAGGAGTATGACTCAGACGGACAAACTTCAGAGAAGGCGCGTGATGGGGAGGGATGAGATAAACCACAGAACTTGTGTGCGTGTATGCGTAACCAATGGACACAGACAACAATGGTTGGGGCGGGGATCGGAGAGGGGGTGTCTGGGGGGAAAAAGGAGAAACATCTGTTAACAAAAATAAATTAATTGATAAAAATAAATAAACTAACTATTTAAAAAAGAAGTATTGTTGTTGGTTTTTAAAATCTGGAGCTGTGAAGGTTATCATGTATATAACTAATTTTATTGGTGTGTATCCAAAAAGGTTTCTACCGTCCTGATTTTCCCAGAGTGACCAGATCCAGATTCCTGAAGTCTTTGCTGAAGCTACAGCCTTAGTCATTTAAATTTACTTAGATTGTTCTTGTTTCTTAGCATAACAAAAAAATGTTTATTGAGCTGAGCCAGGTGACAAATGGCTCTTAATTACTGCCCCCCCCCCCTACACTATTGGGTGAGGTTTTAAAAACATCCTTTGGATGTGCTAACAGTGGACTGGGAAGAATGCAGCCCTCGGTGGACAAGTCTTCAGCTGGCCGTGGCTACTGTATTAACCAGTTACGTGCCGAATACACAGGAAACCACTGTGGTCAACTCGAGGCAAGTGAGCCTCAGGTGGGTGCAATTATTTGAGAAATTAGGACACCAACTGGCGAGAGCTGAGGCAGGGTTGGAGGTGCGTCTAACTGTGAGGACACACAGCACTGCCTCGGGTCAAGTCGGACAAGCAGCATTAACCAGGGACACCCCCAGACCCAGCGACGGGGACTCGCTAGCTTCAGTGTGGTACTTATCACACACGCACTGTGCCCAGGACCAGCCATCCGTGAGCATGGCGACAGCCGGGAAAGGGCTTTAAAAGGAGGCCAGAGTCACCCAGGCGGGGAAGGTCGCTTCGTGTCCCCGTGTGGGGCACATTTGACAAGAGGTGGTGGAGATGGAGCGGGCAGCACGCAGGTGTGAGGACACAGATTTCCTCGGACAGCACCGCGTGCCGGACTTCCCGTGGAGTATGTCATCCAACCCTCCGTGGGCCTCCTTTTACAGAAGAAAACTGAATTCTGCAATTTCCCCCCAGGACCTGCAGCCAGAGAGGAGGGTCGTCAAGATTCAAATGGAATGAAGTCCGAACCCAAGCCCTCCTCCCTGCGGAAGCCTCCAGGCGAGGGGCGCACCACTCAGCACACGCCTGCCTCAGCTTCACACCGGAACCCCAGGCCCCACGCTCCAGAAAACATGTCCAGTGACAAAAGCGAAGAGAAACACAGGAAGAAGACCCCCCCATGCTCCCACCCAGGAACAATCACAACCAAGTGAAACTCAGACAACGATCCCTTGCTCACAATAGGTGTCACCCCTTTCTCCTCAGCAGACCGGAAAACACCAGGACCACAGAGAGCACTCGGGGGGACCACAGTCACGTGCCACAGGAGGGAGGAGGCAAATTCCAGGCTGAAATCCAGTTCTTCATTTCCTGTAATCGCTCCCCCCACAGGATGCCTACAGCCTGGTGCCAATTTCAAGGTTC